CCTCCTTCGCTCACACACATCGTTCAACCAGACAGTTATTTGTAAGCCATAGGAGGGGCCCAGAAATAGTTTGGAAACCACTGATGTAAAACAACTAACATAATTACATCGCTAAATCAGAATCACACAAAGTATTTATTTACCATTAATTCTGGCATTACTGGCACCATAAAAGGCAAATTCCTTAATAAAACCATATTTTTTCATTTTCTTAAGGAAGTAGAGCTAATTAAATGACTAACATGACCTGAAAGTGGTTCCAGTTTCACTCAATGGCCAACCTGTTTAAACTGTGGCAGATTTTAAATACTTTGGGTCGTTCCTGGACAGTCAGCTCAACTTTGCTGAAAACACTGGCTCCATTTTTAAGAACTGTTCTCAGAGACCATCTTTTAAGGCTTTGTGTTCTTGGAGTTAGCCAATTAAGTTTGTGTAAAAATATTTTTGAAGTATATTCACTGAAAAGAAAGCTTCTTTTTTCAATTGAACCGTTCCTTATGAACCAAGCATACATGCTTTTAGTTTTAATTCCTGCACACCAAGCAGAAATTCAATTCATATTTCTCATCCTCGCTAATTGGTTTTATCCCCATCAATAATCATAAGTTGTCCCACTGTAGCAAAATTTCAACTTTTGAAGCCCAGAAATTTCATTGTTTTTTTCTGCAAAGTTACAGAATAAATCTCTGGTTTAAGGATAATTAAATGCATCTTTTTATTATCTCACACAATGAATAATTTCAATACAATCTGTGGAAAAACAAAGCAAAAATATTTATTGTGATAATTTGCTAGTTCATCACTCAGAAACCATCCCATAATTAGCCATTAATGCTTCCTGAACACTCATGAAAGAAACTGTCAACCTGATGAAAAGAACAAAAAAAACTTTGATATTTTCCATTCTCCAATTGTTTATATTCTTACGCTACACATCCACACGAAAATAAAAACATTAAGATTAAACATTATTAAATATTTTAAAACAAAACACACCAGAGTGAAACATCTGATTTAGAAACATTTTACAAAAGTTCAAAAACAAAGAAAATAGAAAATAACTTGACAGCAGCAGTTTTAACTTTCCACTGCCTTTTAGACAAACACCCCACTGCTGTGATCAGTTTATTTAGGGTTAACCTGACAAGTCAGCGGTTCTCAGACATCTCCCAAAAAGACAAGGGTCCAATTTGGGATGACTATAAAAATTAGTCAGCATGAAAAACTGGCCACTCAGCTCTTCTCTTTAGAGAAGAGCTGAGTG